TTAGTTGGACCAGTGTTAGATTAGATACATCTTTAAAGTTCATCCGTGAATGAAAATGTTAATTAATAAACAATTTTAAATGATATATGTGTCCCTCTTCATTGCATTTAATTGATTATTAGCTTTTAGAAACAGCTAATTCCAAACACAATCACTAAATCTTAGCAGGTATGGGGATAATTTGAATTATAACTTTATCTAAATGTACTAGTTCTAAATCATCCGTCATAATGGGAAAGTAGTTTAAAATAAGTCACCATGTTTTAGACTTTTTGGTCTCTGTGACATTATGTATTTTGAACTTCTGTGAATTTTAAAATGTAAACATTTGCCATGTGAGCTGCTGACATTATTATGGTCTGTTTTATGTTTATTTGTAGCTGTGGTATCAGTGGATGGGCAGCCAGTCAAACTRCAGCTCTGTGACACAGCTGGACAGGTCAGTGATCTCAACGCAAAGGCAGAAAAAAAAAAACCCAGAAGTATTTCCAAATGCTTTTCAAATAATATAAGTGCTTATTTCCTTCCATGCATTTGATGCATTCATGTGTGCATTTTCTGTACTTTTTCTTTTGCCTTTTCAGACTTGATTGCATTGTATAAAGACCCACAGTATGACACATCAAAGGTTTCAGGGTGAAATCAAAAGAGTTGCCTGGTTTTCCCCATTCCCACTAGCCCACTGGAATATCCCTTGAAATGGTTTAAAACAAATGAATCTTCAAATATACAACACATTATATTGATTTAAAACATTTGAAGTCTGAATGATAGTGAAARGAAGGCAAATATACTGTTTCTGCATTTATTTACTGAGCTCACAGCTTAAAAAAACCCCTAACTTCCTGAATAATAGGAGCAGTTTTTTTTATATGAAACTAGACCCTAAAATAGATTTTGTGTAAGTGGGTTATTGTCTGGGAAACTTATGTCTCTGATAGGTTTTGCCTTGGAAAGATGAATTCCTTTGTAAGCAGGAAGTGATGTAATGATGGTATGTCCACAGCTGCTGGAGCAGATTGCTGCCTGGAAAAAAAAAGATAGTAGATCCATATCATGAGGGACAAGCCACCACTGGTCAGATGAAGCCGTAGCTCTGATGAAACAAATAAAGATATGTTAGGTATGCCCGGTGCACAGTTTCGACTAGAGAAACAGACACAAACTCATCATTGAGGAAAACAAGCGGGCGGGAATCACAGAGAGGAGGAAGGAGCGTTGGGGTGAAACCAGACCAAACTTTCTAGTTAATCATTTATTCTAGATTAAATATTTCATGTTTTCTTCTAAACTTAGCGCAAAAAGTAAGGAAATTTGTGTTTGTTGGACGATTTCTTGACTGTAGCAAAGCTTCTTGGCAATAAATCTTATATCGATAGAAAGCCTATTAAATTCGTGGTATCGCATTTGTAAGGAACATGCATTTGTGGGATGAGCAGTAGAGCTGAGGGGTTGCGCACATGAAAATTTTTACCAAATATTCTCTGTCAAACAGCTTATTTTGCTGTTATTTGCTCATGTTTTAAGCTTCTGGTACCTCCAGGTGCTAAAGGCCCGCCAAAACATTTGTTGCCAAGAAGCATTGTTACAACAAATACTCTACAAAACACAAATTTYGTTACTTTTTGTGCTATGTATACATGTARAAAAGGGTTTTGAAAGTTGCCTTTTTTGCTCTACAGGTGGGACTAATTCAGATTTTGTTCAGCTGCTTCTTCTTGTAATACGCATCGTTTCTCTTTGTCTCCTGAGACATCCAGAACAAATGTGAATGTTTCACATCTTTTTTTCTTTTCTAAATGTCCTCTAAATCACTTTTTTTTTCCCTGAATGAGTTTCCTCCGTGGCAGTAACGCTCAGGGCGACTCTCCCTCTGCGTGTCTTTCAGGATGAGTTTGACAAGCTGCGTCCTCTGTGCTACACCAGCGCAGACGTGTTCATGTTGTGCTTCAGCGTCGTCAGTCCCGCCTCCTTCCAGAATGTGCCGGAGAAGTGGGTCCCCGAGATTCGGAAGCACGCCCCGTGCGCACCCCTCGTCCTCGTCGGGACGCAGTGCGACCTCCGAGAGGATGTCAAGGTGCACGTAGGCCTCACGTTGTTTGTTTCATGTTCTGTTAACGTCTTGCAAACATATTAAACTCTAAACGAGATAATTAATCCACTTTTGCCACTTAGAACAGACAAACCTCTCCTTTAAACCTGAACATGGTAACAATAAGGTAGTTTATAAACCAAAAGCACCTGAAGGGACGTTGGTGTTAAATATATAAAGATTGTACACTGTTGTTTTCTCCAGTGACGTATCATTTTTTTACTTGAAAAGTCACAGTTTCATTTTATTTTAAAGTAAACCTGGGAAATTTAAAGTTCCCATTTACACCACTGTTCACAGCTCCTGCTGGTATTTTAACAGTGGCTATTCGTCTTTGTCCCACACAGTGTCATATTTCATCCTGCTGAGCTACATTAAAAACCACAGTTAGCAGTTTAATACAGTAAAACTCAAAACAACCCGTAGATAAGGTGTGTATTCATTATATTTTGACAAAACAGTGCAAAACGTTTTAACTAATGCACTATAGCTGCCTTTTTCTCCACAAAAAGATTTGAAATTTAATCCTCGGTTCGATGACGGGTCACATATTTGTTCCTCCTAGTGACATGAGCAGTGACTGATTCTGTTTTTCTTCAGGTCCTGATTGACCTGGCCAAATACCGAGAGCGGCCCATAGACCCGGCAGACGCCCGGGACTGTGCGATGGAGATTGGAGCTGTGGCCTACATGGAATGCTCCTCYCTGACCCAAAAGAATCTGAAGGAAGTGTTTGACGCGGCCATACTGGCCGGCATACAGAACCACGGCTCCCGTAAAGACTCGAGAGGGAAACAGAAAYGCAGGAAAAAGCGAAGGCAAAAACCAGACAAGATGAAGAGCCTGTCCAAGTCTTGGTGGAAAAGGTACTGCTGTGTGGCCTGAAGCAGACCTGTGACGGGTTCGCTTCCCGCTTCCAGTCAGGGAAGGAATCTGAGTTGGATCGCTCAGTTCAAACCTATGAACTGGTTTTGGCTTAATTTGGACTCAAAAGCTTTTTTTTTGTACAAAAGAACCTAATGCATGACTTTGCCTTAAATATGGAAGAGAACTAAGATTTCTGCAAATTACTATTTTTTTAATTGCAGATGAGATTTACTACTGAGCCTCTGATCTGAGCCCTTTGCACGGTGCTCCTGCGTCTGTAGAATTAAGCTTACATGAACACTACTATTATTATGGGGCGAGCCAAAGATGTGATCATATTAAGGATTTGACTGATTCAGTTTTTTAAAAAAACACTTAATTCACTGTTTTTCTCCTGGAGTCTTGGTAAAATCCCCTGTAAAAGTCTATCGTGAATTCAACCCGCCTTGTTGTGTTGCCTTAAGAAAAACTGGAATCTCATAGAAATGTAATTATTACTATCAGGGACCTAAATTCAGCCACATGCTGTCATTTTTCTAAATTGTGTCTAACTTTAGACTGGTTTCTGCAGAATGAAAGAGAGCTGCCCTCTGACCAGACTTTGTCATTTAGGATTTTACGACCCAGACATGATCACCAGACATATTTAAAGCCAGAACAAGTGCAGCTGGGAGATCATTTTTCTCCCCACAGAACTCAGGCCATTGTTATTCTTTTTGAAAAACAACTTACCAACTCGTTTTAGCCTGACCACAGACACAGCTTCCTGTTTCGCCACCCATTAATTAGTGTCAGACCTGGATTGTGCTTGTTTAACTTTAGCAGAACAATGTATGATAAAAGTCGAACTTAAGAGTTTAGCCTGACTTTTCTGCAACCTTTGGCTCCACGAAGGTAACAGAACCAAATTTAAAATCTGRCTCAGAGATTTCTAAACAGTCAGGTATTATTTTATAAAAATACCTTTTTTTGAGTTTGTATTGGTGGCTGCAGTGATTTATCATCCTCAAATGGAAATGAAATGGTACCAGTGTGGGCTGGTTAACCATAAAGCTTCTTGTGGTGGGAGATCTCTGGGTTGCACTTGACTTTACTCAAGTCTGAAGAACATTAATCAATTTAGGATCACAGTGTTGCTCAATGTAAGCATCTCTGATGTCGTCTTTAAAGAGAAAATTAACAAATCAGTCAAAAACTGATGGTTTGAATTCAAAACGATCATCGGGGCAACTGATAGTATAGATCAGCAGCAAGGTGCAAAACAGGCAAAAACCTATTTTTATATGTTTATACTGTTTAATGTGAGTTTGATTTATCGTTTTAAACACTTAAACAGCCTCAAATATGAGCACTTGTTTTAATGAGACAAAAACTCAGCTGTTTTTTTTTAGTAAAAATGTAGATAATATTTTTTTATCAAAGCAGATTCACATAAATAATTATTGACTTAAATTTAAGTTCAGTGCTAAAAAAAGGAAAATAAAATAAAGCAAAACACAAATGTGTGTCAGAAAACCCTCAGCTGAACATTTAGTTACTAAATCAGAAGTAAAATTCACTAATATTTATTATATTATTCTTCCTGTCTACATGTAAACAGATCTTTGTGTGAGAACCTCTGAAACAAAAGGAAAGGATCAAATTAGCTGCAGCTTGTCGTTTTTTTATTTTTTAATCAATGAACACAAACACATTTTATTGCTCATGTATAAACAGAAAGGTGGTCTTGTTCAATTTTTACATAACCTGGGTTTCAATAAAAAAAAAAACAAGAATTCTGGATCATCACACTATTATTTTTTTGGTTTTATTGCCAGTAATTCAAGTAAATACTGCCAACTGTTTTGGAGGCATCTGATCTAAAGGTTAAGATATTTAATTTGGTACATATTTTGTTTTATTTTTTTCAATGTAATTGACTAGCACCAGGTTACCTGATGTTTATTTTAATGTCACAATTCTACTAATTTTATTTCTTTAAATTGGACAAATAAAAGTTGAAACGGTAATGTCGCGGTCTCAAGGATGCTGTGTTTGTGAAACCGACCTTCATCTAAAACTTGTGTTTTAAGTCCTGGACTGAAGACTGGAGCTTTCTGCAGCTTCCTCCTTGTTGACGATGTTGTTGCTGTAACTGTTGACGATGTTGTTGCTGTAACTGAATGTGTTCACTGTGTCGACGTCTCGCTCCTCGTAGCAAAAGCTTCGTGTCTTCCAGGGAAAAAAAAGACACAATCGGTTGTTTGTCCTGGTGTTTGTGTGTCGTCTTGGTTCATTGTGGAGTTAAGCGGGCTAAAGGTCGTGCACAGTTTTATGACAGCTGGCATTTCCTGTGTCAGTTTTCTGCTTACAGTACATTTGCAATTTGACAAGAGTTGGTTTCTTGTTAGGAAAAATGTATACATGTTTTTATTCTAAATATAGTACCTTAAATTATTAACAATGATTTGCATGAAAGCTGCTTTTCTTAACCGCTCACTCACTGCTTTGGTTGCAAAAACAGACCTGTGTTTCATCCTTTAAATCCTGTGCAAATTTATCTGCAGCACTCTGGTCGTATTATATTCAAAGGTTATTTTGTGTTAAAACATAGACAGCCTTTAAAACTGTGTTACTATAAGTGTTACAGAGTTGAATCTCCTCAGGTGGTTGATTTTCAGCAGAGGTGAACTTGGATGACAGGTGTGTGGTTTTGTGATGTTCAACAGACCGTGTCTGAAAGTGAAGACAGAAAAAATGGCGCTCAGATGAATGTTTGGTTGATTAAAAGTAAAACATTAATATTCAGCGATACTCTATTGGAGTATGAGATTTATGATGATCTGATGTTTGATCAAGCCTCCTTTAGTGATGTCGTTAATAAATAGGTGTCCTAAATCCAAGTAAGTTTACACAAATTTAAATAAGTCTAAGGCTACAATATGACACGATGATGATTAATAAATTGGTGTCCTACGACACTAGCCTTGACTTATTTCTGTAAACATGTCTTTGTTTTGTTCCACTAATTTCTCAGAAAGCAAAGCAAACCGATGGATTCAGCCGATCGTTTGCTTGTTTAACTGGGGTTGTTAGCTTTTAAATGCACACCTGAGCATGCTCAGATAGGACACCAGCTGAAACATMCATGTGTTTTTATTATCCAGGAGTGTAAAAACACAGGAACAGATTACCCGCCGCTGCTGCAACCCCCTCGTGTTGACGTCACCCAGAGGAGCCTGTGTTTACACAGATCTGTAACACCCTGAGAAATAAAGAACATTTTGGAATAAGATACTATGTGTTGTTGTTCCGTGTTTMTGTTTCCACCGCCATGCAATGAAAGCCAGCAGAATGTAACAAAGATAAGGTGCACACACCATTTGGAAAAGTTTCTGTTTCGAAATTTTCAGGCATGGAGATGTCTGAAATGTCAGTAWAAGGGATCTAAGACCAGTGGACCATTAACTTTTTTTTGTTATGTTGCCTTGCTTTCATTTTTGTTTGCATGTTGTTTTGTTTGAAGTCATGCCTTGTAGTAGTTTTTACTCTGTGAAGTTCGACACACCCTGCTGCGCTCAGCTGATGAAGATCAAACGTGGGGGCTGGTGGGGTGAGATGAGTCTGATGTTTGAGGGCATGAAAATACTCATGTATAAACTGAGGGGCAAACTCTGCAAACACATCGTGTGGCTCATCATGAACACACTCATGTTCCAGCACCTCCTGGTTATGCAAGAACTTTTATTTTGAAGGCCATCATGGTTCATCTCATAAGTCAGGGATGTCAAACTGATTTTCACTGAGCATTATGGTGGYCCTCAAAGGGCCAGATGTAACAAACTTCAACAATTTTTGACTGTGTATAACATGCTATATACAAGTCCTCAAGGGCCAATCTGAAAGTTTTATTTGTCCCTGCTTCAACACAGCTGATTCAAATAGATGATTTACTGTTTACCATCAGGGTCTGCAGAGGCCCACTAATTAAGCACTCCTTAGGTTCAGCTGTGTTGAACCAGGKTAAAACATGCAGGACACCRGCCCATGTGGACYGACTTTGGACACCACTGTTGGACTGTTTGCCCATTTAGTGGTTCTGTCTTGTGAAAGAGCCTTAAATGTGAAAAAAAAAATACCATTGAAATCAAAAAGTAAGAGAGTTTTACTCACTGTTGAGTTGTGATGAGCGGCTGCCATCTTGAAATCTGAACTCTCCCTCTTTCCCACAAGGAATTCTCACTGGAGGGGTGTTCCAATTTAAATTTACAACTTGTAAGTGGGTATGTCCCACTTCCCAGTACAACTGGGCCGCAGCAAAAATGCTGCGAAGCGGAGCTTTTCCAAAGGGAATTTTGCCAACTACTTTTGAACCCTGTGCACCTCCATTTAGTGGTTGGATGTCATCATTTAGCTGGTGATTTAATCAACATGCATTATGGGAATTGTAGTTTATGGTCAACGCTGGCTCCTCTTATTTTAATCTTTGATGCTCTCGCGGGCCACATGAAATTCTGTGGCAGGCCACATTTGGCCTGCGGGCCTTGACTTTGATATGTGTAGTAAGTGGTGTGTGT